CCACTGCCCCATCTCCCACTGCCCCATCCTCCACTGCTCCATCTCCCACTGCCTCATCTCCCACTGCCCCATCTCCCACTGCCCCATCCTCCACTGCCCCATCCTGCACTGCCCCATCTCCATGCAAACAAACTCACGGGATTCAGTGGTGGAGTGAATGTCAAACTGACCAACAGACTGGCAGTAATGTTCCTTTGCCACTGTCAACTCTCACAACATTGCCCCATCCTCCACTGCCCCATCTCCCACTGCCCCATCTCCCACTGCCCCATCCTCCACTGCCCCATGTCCCACTGTCCCATGCCTGTCTGCCCCATCTCCCACTGCCCGATGCCCATCTGCCCCATGTCCGCCTGTCCCACCTCCCACTGCCCCATCCTCCACTGCCCCATCTCCCACTGCCCCATTGCTGCACTGCCTCATTTTCCCCAACTTCCTCAATCTTCGCTGCTCCATACCTGACATTGCTGTTCCCACCGTCTGGGATTTCAAAAGCCTCATTCCCTTTCCCAGGGTCTGAGGAGGAGGAGAAGGTATAATTTCCCATGGCTGCTCTGTGTGTGTGTGTGTGTGTGAGGTCATGGATTGAGCTGAGCTCAGTCAGACACTGACCTCAAAGCATTGACCCTTCGAGCAACCCTAAGGTTACTGCAGCTTTTCAACACTGAGTGTGACTGAAGGGGACTGTGTTCAACATAAAGGTTTGATTCCAGCACGCCTACAGTGTAAGGCTAACATCACAATGAAACAGCTCACACTCTAACACTACAAGCTCACAATGGGTTGTGGGAAGTGAAATGTTCCTTTCTCAGATGTCTTTTTTGATGTGAACACAAAGTGAGAAGGTCTGGAGCAGTGAACGAAAGTGTGGAAATGGAGGATTTTTCTTTTAACCAGCAGCGGTCAGCCTGCTTCGACTGAGCTGACTCCAGACATCTGGAAATGCTTTTTTTTTTGTTGAGAAATCAGATTGTCTGACATTTGCTGAGTATTTGTAGCATTTCCGTGCAAACAAACTCGCAGGATTCAGTGGTGGAGTGAATGTCAAACTGACCAACAGACTGGCAGTAATGTTCCTTTGCCACTGTCAACTCTCACAACATTGCCAACAGCTTGATTCCACTGTGGGCTTTCTGTTTCCCAGTATGGATGTTAAGCAGAGAATACTCCATGTAAGAAAAAGGTTAGCAGGTGGGTTTCACTCTTAATGGGGCAATAACTTCATAAGAACCTGTCTGTCATAATATTTCCCATTGGATTACAATGAGGAAACTGACACTTCAGCAGCAAGATACATAAATGTGCCCCTTAAATGTGATCTGATGGGATGATTAGCAGCTGTCTTCTTAAATAAGAGTCACAGTACTATACAACATGGAAACAGACCCTTCAGTCCAACTCATCCATGCTGACCAGATATCCTAAATCAATCTGGTCCCATTTGCCAGCATTTGGCCCATATCCCTCTAAACCCTTCCTATTCATATACCCATCCAATGCCTTATAAATGTTGTAATTGTACCAGTCTCCACCACTTCCTCTGGCAGCTCATTCCATACACGTGCCCCACCCTCTGTGTGAATAAGTTGCCCTTTAGGTCCCTTTTAAATCTTTCCCCTCTCAGCACAAACCTATGCCCTCTAGTTTTGGACTCCCTTACCCAAGGAAAAGACCTTGTCTATTTACCCTATCCATGCCCCTCTTGATTTTGTAAACCTCTATAAGGTCACCCCCCAGCCTCTGATGCTCCAGGGAAAATAGCCCCAGCCTATTCAGCCTCTCCCTTTAACTCAAACGCTCCAACCCCGGCAACATTCTTACAAATCTTTTCTGAACCCCTTCAGGTTTGACAACATCCTTCCTATAGTAGGGAGACCAGAATTGCACACAGTGTTCCAAAAGTGACCTAACCAATGTCCAGTACAGCCAAAACATGACCTACCAACTCCTATGCTCAATGCACTGACCAATAAAGGCAAGCGTACCAAATACCGCCTTCACTATCCTGTCTACCTGAGACTTCACTTTCAAGAAACTATGAGTAGAGAGGGAATTTTTGACTCTTTTATGCAAATAATTTGAAACGTTTCTCTTTAATGTGATGGAGATATCGCTTGTGATTTGCAATTGTCCCTAGAAAAGGTTTTTTTAATAGGAACCCGCTAGAGCTTCCCAATTCTATCATAACACACCTTTTGTTCAATGATGCATATGACATTAGTGACCACTCAGGGTTTATCTATTCCAGTAAAGTGTTGGGCTGGAGCTCACCTCTATCGACTAGCAGCCTGGAACCGGGCATAGTGATTGGAAAGTTTCTTTCCAACATATGGCTGGTGTGGATCAGAGGTATTTGTAGGTTGGTATTCACCTGTCTGGCTGTGTTGTGAATACACCTTCCAAGCCAGGACACTACCAACTGTACCACAACATCTCCTTGTATGGTAATGGAGTGTTTCTTTCATCTTTTTATTCTGTTTCTGCAATAAATGCAATCCTTAGCATTGCTGTGCTTTTCATGTCATTTTTATCATTTACTAGTTTTCCCGGGAATCAGTAACCATTATGCGATTACTAAACAGAAGGTTATTGGACCTGAAATAATTCAGTTCAAGCTATACAGCAATTAACTGTGTACTTTGTTTTTCATAATGCTGGTATAAATTCCTATGTCAACATCTAGTCTTCAGGAATGTCATCATTCCTGACACTGTAGTCAGGAAGCTATGTAAACGTGTCACGTTATGCTTCAGTGCCTCTGTTGGACAGGGAATGTCATGACACTGAAATGTTACCGACATGGAGCACATTGGTGAAATTTACTCTCAGATTTCTATGATTTGTTGCTTGTCTCTGAACTCATCAATGGTAATTATTAATTAATGTCTGAACCCATTTCTTGTTTTTCAGGGAGCAATAGGTTTACCTGGTTTTGCAGGGCCCATAGGAATGCCTGGATTCCCAGGAGTTGAAGGGCCTGCTGGTCCTTTGGGATTGAAGGTGATTGTATTTAGATTATCCAGAAGTTTATTTCCAAACACTGTTAGGCTGGATTTGTAACAAAACACCTCTTTTATGTTTCAGGGTGACCCTGGAGAGCCGGGTCTAACAGGAAAGAAAGGAATTCGGGTATGTGTCGCTGACTTTCGGTGCTGGATCATCACAATGATTCCAGGCTTCATTATACATCTCAAATGGAATAGAAGAAGCTTTCATAGAATCCCTACAATGTGGAAACAGGCCCTTTTTGGCCCAACAAGTCCACACCAACCCTCACAGCATCCCATGTAACCCACCTAATCTACACATCCCTGAACACTACAGGGTAATTTAGCATTGCCAATCCACCTAACCTGCAGATCCCTGGACAGCGGGAGGCAACCACAGCGCCCGGAGGAAACGCACGCAGAGAACATGCAAACTCCACACAGACAGTTGCCCGAGGGTGGAATCAAACCCAGGTCCCTGGCACTGTGAGGCAGCAGTGCTAACCACTGAGCCATCATGCCACCCTGTACTATTCAGTATCATATAGTAAAGCTTTATTGTTTGTCAAGCTTGACTCTATCTTCTGTCATAGACTTTGTCTTCCTTCCCCACAGGGTATCAGTAACTTATGCCCCTAATACCTATAAATACTAATAGTAGTGGGAAAGATTGATAGCGGTGAATCTAATTAAACCTTCTCAGATAATTCCAATGGACATTACTACACCATGATGCTGTAAACAGAACAGGCAGAATGCTTTCGGTGAATACAATTAGTCAGGGCAGGGAGAAATTACATTGCTCATAAAAGAACAAACAGTATGGAAAGTTCACATTTACACAAATGTACATACACAAAAACAACAAAGAAAATTGATGCAAAAACACATTTATGAATAAATGCCCACTCCCACTCATACAGGCATACACACACTTCATGTGCAATTTCAAGGAGACACAAACACATGCAAACATAGACAAGTTATCATAGCGTTCCACCCATACTCACCTCACCTTATGTAGCCTTTGAATGTGTGGGGTGAAATCCAAATCATTTTATAGATGTCTTTCTAATTACTGACCATCCCGTTACTGGAAATTGTTTCCCCTAATTTACTCAAGTAAAACTTCTCAGAATCTTGAGCAGCTCTACTCAACCTCACTTAACCTTCCCTGCCCTAAGGAGGACAATCCTAGTTTCTCTAATGTCCCCATTGAACTGAAATTCCTCATCCTGGTACCATTCTGGTAAACCTCCTCTGCATCCACTCCAACCCCTTTGTCATCCTTCTCAAAATGTGCGACCCAGAAGTGGACAGCAGTTATCGGCGGTTTATAAATTGCATCAGATTTCGCCAAAACGCTTAACAATCTCACAGCAAGTTCCAACAGAACATTGGGGAAAACACCCAAAGTGACTCCATCCACTTTTGTTGGACAATGAAAGAGGGGACTTCAGTGAGGATCAAATTGGAAATTGTTTTTGTTTAAAGTACATTCTTAATCAGTTATTTTATGCTAATGTTAATGACACAGGGTCCAGCTGGTTCGCCAGGATTCCCAGGAACTCCAGGACTGCCTGTAAGTATAATATCCACCATGCCTCACTTCCAATCACATTTAAAACACTGAACTGATCCAAACAGAAGGCAACTCTCTGACGAATCTCCTCACTCATAGGGTTTACCAGGACAGGATGGACCACCAGGACCAGCTGGAATCCCAGGATGTAACGGCACAAAGGTAACCCTCGGTGTCAGGCTCAGTCGAACCAGCATTTGATGCAGATTTTATAGAATGTTCCGAAACAGAACTAAACTATTTGATGCAGCAAACCTGAGCAAGCCATTTGCTTCACTTGCTGACTCTGTGCATCTCTTTTTATTTAATTCTTTCACGGGACGTGAGCATCACCAGGAAGGACAATGTTGGTTACCTATCCCTCGTCACTCTGAGAAGATAGTGCTGGGTTACCTTTTTGAATCACTATGATCCATGTGCACCCACAGTGCTGTTAGGAAGGGTGCTTGAGGATTTTTTTTTCGGTGACACTGAAGGAACAAAGCTATATATTTCCAAGTTAGGATGGTAAGTGACTCCCTGGGGAACTTGCAGGTGCTGTTGTTTCCAAGCATCTGCTGCCCTGGTCCTTCTAGGTGGTAGAGACCTGGGGTTTGAAAGGTACTGTTGAAGGTGTGTTGCTGCAAAACGTCTCGTATATATTACCCACCGCTGCCACTGTGTGTCAGTGGTGGGAAGAGTGAATGCTTAAGGAGGTGGATGGGGTGCTGATCAAACAGGTAGCTTTGTCAACTTCTTGAGTGTTGTTGGAACTGCACTCATCCAGGCAAGTGGACAGATTTCCATCACAATCTTGACTTGTAGATGGTGATCCCATTTTGGGGAGTTGAGAAAGGAGTTGTACCTTGTAATATCCCACTCACCTATTCACTCACCACATCCATTAATATAACACGCAGTCTAATCCCACTCTCCCCCTCACTCCTCGTACTCTTTAGTATGCCATCCTGTCTGAACCCACTCTGTCCCTCACCCTCTGCATTCAATAATAGACCAAATCCCACTGCCCCCGTCACTACGCACATCCTTTAATATGCCATCATATAATCCTTCCCTCTCTTCACTCCCTGCACCCTTAATTATATATCCAGTCTAATCCCACTCTCACCTTCATGGCCTGCATCCTTTATTACCCCAATCTAATCCTACTGTGCCTTTCACTCTGCACACCCTTTAATATGCCACCATCTAACCCCACTCTCCCTGTAGTCCCCAAACCTTATAATTATCCAACCAATCTAATGCTACTCACACCAGTACTCCCCGCACCCTTTATAATCCCAATGTTTAAATCTACTGCCCCCCTCACTGTCATTTAACATGCCACTATCCAATCCAACACTTCCTTTCATACCTCGCACCTTTTATGATCCCACATCCAATCCCACCCACTCACTGACTCATTTTAATTATTCACCCTCTCTAATCACACTTTCCCCTCACTTCCCAGACCCTCAATATCCCACCCAGTCACAGTCACAGAATCATAGAGTCATACAGCACAGAAACAGACCCTTTGGTCCAACTCGTCCATACCGATCATAATCTCAAACTAAACTAGTCCCACCTGCCTGTGCTTGGCCCATATCCCTCCAAACAGTTTTTATTCACAAACTTATTTAAACGTCTTTTAAACGTTGTAACTGTACCCTTATCCACCACTTTGTCTGGAAGTACATTCCACACACGATCCACTCTCTGAGTAAAAAATTTGCCCCTCATGTCTTTTATAAATCTTTCTCCACTCACCTTAAAAATATGCCCCTTAGTCTCAAAATCCCCCACCCTAGAGAAAAGACACCTGACATTCACCTTATCTATACCCCTCATGATTTTATAAGCCTCTATAAGGTCATCTTCAAGCTCCAACGCTGTGACCCCTCTTTCCTGTTCAACCAAATCAAGTAACTTCTTGGGAGAGCTATTCAAGGTTGATGCTTGCTGGGGAGAATAGTTACTCACGGGGGTGAAGGTGAAGATTGATCTGTTCTGTTTATACACAGGGTGATCGTGGACCATTGGGACCCCCAGGATTACCAGGTCTCCAAGGATCTCCGGTAAGTTTCTAACAATTTGATTGACTGTTATTTTAGGTTTGTTGAGTGGGGGTGGTGACGGTGAGCGTTTCAACATTATTTTTACGCTGTTGTTATGTTTTTCAGGGTCGACCAGGCACTCCAGGTACAAAGGTAAATAACAAATCCACTTTTCAACCTTCGTTAAAGATTCAAGAAAATGTGAAGCAGCATTCAGGAATACTTTGTGTTGTCACTGTATCCCTGATTCTCTCATCTGTGTTCTCATCAACTGCAGGTTCCCCACAGGGAGACTAGCAACCCGAAATCTACAGAGACAGATGAGACCGTTGAGCACATTAATTCTGCACTACTGTCCAACAATGCCCTTGCCTGCCTCACTAATAGTCACACTCTCTTGGCCCTGACCACTGATTATATCAGAAGAGTCTTTCCTGAAGGATGTTACCACTTCCTGGAACAAAGTAACTCCCCCCACCCCACCCCTGCCACCATTGAAGTATATGCAAGTCAGCATCAATCTCAATATCTCTGAGCCAAAGTTCCTCAAGTTGCAGACACTTGCTACAGACATGGTTCTGCTACACCACTTAACGTCCAGGAGTTTCCACATTCTACAGTTACAACACATCACCTGTCCTATAATCTTTATTATTTGTTAATTAATTAATCAATTTTCTTTCATTAATTTATAATGAATAATCCCAATTAATCCCAATATGCTTTACTACTGCTGGTAAACCTGACTAGAACTATTAAAGCCTTACAACTGCTAACAAATTAAATGGGATTTGAAAGGCAGCTAAGCAAAATATTCACCAACCAATCATATACCTGCTTTCCTGTGTATCATGGTATGATTTTTTTCAGAATGTGACCAGTCCACAGACTGGAGACCCCTTACTCATTATCCACAACTCTCCATATGTTTTTAAACTCAAACTTAAGGTGGCTACTTAAGTGTCCAGCCCCTCTGCTCTCAAAATTCCCTTGATCACTAAATTTCCAACCTTACACTTAATGTATACTTGCTGATGCATTGCTCAACTCATTCTTGCTTTCACACGGTCCTGTAAGCTCAGGTATCCTAAAAAAAACGTGCAGTTCTAGCCCAATTATATGTGATGGAAGGTGTGCTTCAACCTTCAGCAATATAACCCTGTAATTATCATGATTAAGGGGAGGTCATATAGTCTTACAGCACTGAAGGAGGTCATTTGTCCCCTTGTGCTGTTCTGGCTCTTTGGGAGAGCTATCCAATTCCACCCATTCCACTTGCTGTCTCTCTCTGTAGCCATATAGATGTTCTCAACTCGAAGTATTGATCCAATTTTCTTTTGAAAATTATTACTGAATCTGTTTACATCATCTTTTCAGGCATACTATTCCAGATCACTTGCTGTATGTAAAACATGTCCCTCATTTACACTCTGATTCTCTTCATAATTACTTTAAATCCCTGCCCCTATGATTATCAACCACCCTGCCTCTGAAAACAATCTCTCCTTACTTACTCTACCAAGCTTCTCCTGATGCTTTCCTGCTCAAAGGAGAGGCAATGGCCTAGTGGTGTTATTGCTGGCCTATTAATACAGAGACCCGAGTGATGACCTGGGTTCAAATCTTGCTGTAGCAGGTGGTGAAATTTGAATTCATTAAGAATCTGGAATTAAGAGTCTAATGATGACCATAATTCCATTGTTGAATTTTAGGGAAAAAAATCAACTAGTTCACCAATATCCTTTAGGGAAGGAAATCCGCCATTCTTACCTGGTCTGGCCTATATGTGACTCCAGACCCGCAGCAATGTGGTTGACTCTCAATTGCCCTGTGGGCTAGTAGGGTTGGGTAATAAATGCTGGTCTAACCAGCAACACCCTCATCCCTTGAGTGAATAAAAAAAAACACTTCCCATTTTTCCATTCTCTCCATGGAACTGATGTTTCTCGTTCCTGGAAGCGCTCTGTGTCCTCTCTTAGGCTTTGACATCCTTTGGATTTATGTTTTATGTTTGTGTTGAAGAAAGATGTAAAGATTCATACCAGTAAACTAATAGTTTCATGATTTTGCTTTAAAACAGGGAGACCCAGGAGAGGTTTATGGTGTTTCAGTTTCAAAGGGGGAGCCAGGGTTCCCTGGACCACCAGGAAAACAGGTGAGATTCAGTCTCCAAGGTTTCTTTTGGAACATCCACTCTATACAACAATGTCTGAGGATCTCCCCCCATTCCCTTAGTCCTAAATCATTTCATCTCTTTTGAATACAGGGTGAACCAGGCATTCCTGGATTGCGAGGACAAACGGGCCCACCGGGTTATCCTGGACCTGCAGTAAGTCTGTTTGTTCACTCTTCCTTCTCCAAAACAAAAAGGCTTCCGGTTAAAATGGTGTTTTTATTTTTAGTTGGAGCACACGTTAGAATGAATCCATCATGGGACAGTTGAACTTTGTGTTTGAGAGACAGAGAGAGTCGAGTGAGAAATTGGAGATTGCAAAACCCGCATCTCTGATTCCAGATCCTGACATGACCTGTTTGTTAGGTTACCTAACAAATGGGGTTGATTGAGTGCTATGGCACTGTCAGTGAGAAGCCCCACCAGGCAGGTACATGGTTCAGAAATACAGTTTGAAAAATTAATATTGACAAATTAACAATGATAACATGCTCATTGTTATCAACACAGGATCCAAAATATGACATCTCATGCAACGACTACCTTCAAACATTAGGTCTCTGTTCCATCTTCCAAATGCAGTTTGCATTTTTTTTTGCCCAATTATGTTGTTGACAGGAGTCCCTGGGACCTGTGCTCTCAAACAGCAGCATCAGTCTAAATGTGCAACCAGCCTATTTCACTTTCAGTAAACGTGATGGGAGTTTTCACTGAGGATGGGAATGCATCTGCAAACAGAAAATGTAGATCTTCAATCAGATGCTTATTTCTCCTTTTGCTCTTCAGTTGCTGTGCCATTGACCCACCATGCAAGTAATGCACCATGCAGATCAGGATGTTGGTAGGTACAGGAAGGAGCCCACTATCCCACTTCATTTAGCTTTCCTTCCTGGTTAAAGAATACAACGTTCTGCATTCAGTGTCTACTTCTGAAGAAGGGTCACCAGACCCAAAACGTTAACTCTGATTCTTTTCTTCACAGATGCTGCCAGACCTGCTGAGCTTTTCCAGCAACTTCTGTTTTTGTTCCTGATTTACAGCATCTGCAGTTCTTTCAGTTTCTACTCAAAGCAACATGCTTAAGATAAGGAACACATCATGCAGAAAGTTGTGCTGTGAATCTTCGTCAAAATTTTCATCTCCCAAGTAGTTATAAGTCTGATGGGAAAACATGACAGCACACAGCAAGATCCCACTAACAGAACGACCAGTTTACTTGTAGTTTTAAGTGATGCTGGTTGAGGGTTAAATATTAACCAGGACATCAGTGTTTTGCAGAATCATCGGGTCTTTTATCGTCACTGACCATCCGATGTGTGATATGCTGCAATTGCAATGGTCAGTCACTCAATTCAATTCCTTATTGCTTTATGTAGTAAACATCATTCCCTGTTATCACTTCGTATTATCCAAGCAAACAAAAAGCAACAACACTGTCAGATTTTTAAGTGCTCTGGCTCCTATATTTTGATTCACTACATTGCTCCTGTACTATAAATTTTCTTCCTCAGGCGTAAATTGGTTTGAGTTAAGAAATAAGGACGTGGTAAGAATATTTCAATGCTGATGAAGATCTACATTGATGTATCTTTGGAGTATGTTGGGTAGATCTGATACACGTTGGTGGGTGATGCCCTATACTGATGCTAAAACCTTATAACAGTTGTTCTCATGTCCAGCAATGAAGTGGAGGAGTCAGTAATGATTTCTTCACTTCAGCATAGGCAGCCATGAGCCTGAAGTTCAGTAGCCCCCTCTGTCAATATCTCCCAAATTCTCTCCATCTTCATAGTGCCCTGTAATAATGTGCCTTTGACCTATTTCTATGATCATCTTGTGCAGTGTCATGTTTTCTTTAATAACATTCCTATGAAGCAACTTGCAATGATTTGCTACATGAAAGGTGCTAAACAACTCCAATAGCTGTTGTTAATAATCTCTTTTGATTTATTGTTCCAGGGTCCCCCAGGTATCCCTGGCCCTCCAGGACCAAAGGTAAATGATTCTATTCAGACACAGGATTGATATTATCAATAATACAGAGATTGTTAATGTTTGATATTACTGAAAGCGGCAGCATTTTCCACATGGTCATGAATAGCTAACAAATCCACTTCCCATGATGCACTTTGGTTGATGGGCTGAGAGGTAGATTCTGCCATAATGGCCACATGCGTCATTGTCAGTTGCCATTTTGGAAATTGACGTGCATTACCAAGTTGCTGTAGCCATCTGTCATCTTGGTGGTGCACATTGGCCAATCATTTTCCTCCCGTGTCAACTAGTGTCTCTCGGGCACAGGAATCAATGTTGAAAGACTTCATGCCATGCTTGCAGGAATCCTTGAAGTGGAGCTTGGGATGACCGACCAACCTGGCCTCAACAACTTCGGGAGTTGAAACTCCCCAGTTACACTTCTGTATCGTGCTGCAAATTTACCCAAGCCAGTAAAGTCACCTCTGATTGGCAAATGCTGCCATAGTTGGCCTCAGAGAGGACTGTCACCCTGGTATTTTGTGAGATGAGATACCCAGAATGTAATGCAAAGACGGAAGGTAGAAGTTGGGGAACTTCACTTCTTGATAACTATGCTGAAAGCTGTGGAGCAAAGTGCTGAAGACATAGTTTAATAAGAGTCAGTAAGAGTCAAAGGGATGTTTCTCAAGTCAGGTTTCATCAGAAGCCGATGATGATAGCTGCTTTCTCTCAAAACACAGCTTAGGCTGTCACCATGGAGCATTAATAATGCTGATATTGGTGACAATGATATTGATAATATCGATCTTACTATTGACATTATTAATTCTGATATGACTGATATCTCTGAAATCGCTGATATTATTGATGTTCCTGAGGCTGACTATCTCACATTGGTTGTTTCTTTTGTCAACAGGGGAACATGGGAGTACAGTTTTATGGACCAAAGGGTCAGAAGGTAAGGAGTTATCACAAATGTACCAATATTCTTTGCAATATTGTGTTCAATTTTGCTTTCCCTGCCATAGGAAAGATCTGAAACTTGAAAGGGTTCAGAAAAGATTTACAAGGATGTTGCTGGGGTTGGAGGGTTTGAGCTATAGGGAGAGGCTGAATAGACTGGGGCTATTTTTCCCTAGAGCATCAAAGGCTGAGGGGTGACCTTATAGAGGTTTATAAAATCATGAGGGGCATGGATAGGGTAAATAGACAAAGCCTCTTCCCCAGGGTGGGGGAGTCCAAAACAAGAAGGCATACGTTTAAGGTGAGAGGGGATGAAGGAGCAATTTTTTCATGCAGATGATGGTGTGTGTATGGAATGAGCTGCCAGAGGAGGTGGTGGAGGCTGGTACAATTACAACATTTAAAAGGCATCTGGATGGGTGTATGAATAGGAAGGGTTTAAAGGGATATGGGCCAAATGCTGGTGAATGGGACTAGATTAATTTAGGATATCTGGTTGGTATGGGCAAGTTGGACCAAAGGGTCTGTTTCCATGCTGTACAGCTCTGTGACTCTATGACACATGAGCTAATTCATCCAGTAAGCACAAACTAATCAACATCAATCAATTCAACAATTTTTCAATTAAAAAAAGACTTGTCCAACTTGCTCATCATTAACTTTTGTCGTTTTGAAAAGTGGGGGAGCAGATGGGATGGAAACAGAGGGGAGAGGACGAAGGTGAAAGCAGGAGGGTTGGGGATTGGGGGTAATGATGAGGGTTAAGCGATAAGGGCGGAATATGCGATGAGGGGCAGGGTGGAGCTGAAGGGGAGGACTATAAATGTGTTGAGAAGAAGCAGAAGCAAGGGCTGGAACTTTTTTTTAAGAGTTTCTGATCTGAGTTTCTGTTTCACAAGTAGGTTGTGTGCGGAAAGAATTAATTGTTCTGACATACATTTTATTTGTACTTTCAAAGGGTGAACAAGGTGTTCAGGGACCCCCAGGTCCACCTGGTAATACGGGGTCCCAAATAGGAACAACATCAAAAATCATCATAGGAGCAAAGGTTTGTTTGTTTAACCGTGTTGATTGTTGGGTCATTTTGCTATTTTCCTTTCCAGGATAATTAAGTCCACATTAGAGCTTAGCTCGTGTCTGTGACCTTGTCAAAGCTGAAATAATACATTTACAATTCAGGCTGTTCACAAGTAAAGCTTGAGGATTACTTCCTGCTGAGGGTCTTCGTCCTATAGAGACCACTCACTCACCGAGAAAGTGGGCCAACGTTTAGTGAAACAATAATGGCCTACTGTTATTATTGTATAAATTGTCCAGTTAATTAATGTTAACTGGCTGTGAATATCCAGAATTTGCCCCTTGATTTATGCAATCCTGCAGTTTGTTTGATTTGAATTGATTTGATTTATTATTGTCACATGTACCAAGATACAAGTGAAAAGTATTGTCTTGCATGCTATCCAGACAATTCACACCTTGCATAAGTGCATCAGGGTAATAGAACAGAATGCAGAATATTGTGTTACAGCTACAGAGAAGATGCAGGGAAAGATCAGCTGTAATATATGCGAGGTCTGTTCATAAGTCTGATAAGAACAGGGAAGAAGCCGTTCTTAAATCTATTGGTATGTGTTTCCAAGCTTTTGTAGCTTCTGTCCAATGGGAGAGGGTATAAGCAAGTATAACTGTGGTGGGAGGGGTCTTTGATGATGTTGGCTGCTTTCCCAAGGCAGTGGGAAGTGTAGATGGAGTCATTGGAAGGAAGGCTGATTTTCGTGATGGACTGAATTACGTTCACAACTCTCTGTAATAACAGTATCTCACCTCCTCAAACTCCCTATTATTTTTAAAAACTTACCACATTTGCTCACTAATTACCCATTTAAGCCACTGCAGAAACCTAGAACTGGGAATAAATTGCATAAATACTTCCCTGTTGATGCAATAATTGTTCCTGCAATGTCCACTCAACATTGACTAGTCCCAAAAGAAAAACAATTTATACAGTTTGTAAGTTGTTCATAGCTATTGAAAAGAATATAGCTTTATGAATTTATTATTTTCCTATGTGTCACTTTCTCTCTCATTAATCCAATTTTTCCTTCTCTTTATTTTTCTTTCTATCTCTGATCTGTCTCTGAACTCACCCAGTGCCTTTCTCCATTATCGCTCTGTTTTCTTTCTCAATCTTTACATCAGGTTGGTTAAGGGGGTGACTGCTGGTGCATTGACATCCCACGTGCACAATTGCCCTCACCCTGCTATTATCAGCTCATTATCCCAGTCCAGGGTAAAGCATGTACAAATTGAAGTTTGAGGGAACGTCTAACAGCTAGGAACTTGGACCAATGTTTGCACAGATTAGTTTAGAAGCAATCCCTTCTATCAATTGGTTCCCCTGGTCCTGTTGGTCTGCATAAGGTCAAACAGCATAAACTGCTCGATGTTATCATAACATCACCCTCCTCACATCCAGTCTCAACCTTCCCTTTCACCAAGACATGTATAAAATGTAACCACTCCGTTTATCTTGTCATTCCTTCTCTTGTTGAGATGGAGAGAATATTTGAACTTTCTCGGCTGCTTACTTGTTGCCAATTCCTGATTAGGAGAATGTTCACTGTCTCTTCAGGCGAAGCTATGACAGTGTAATTCACCAACAATTTCAAGAGAGAAGAGAAATAATTTCTTCCCACACAGAGGGCTGGGATTGTGAGCTGGCATTTTCCTCTAAGAGGCAGTAAATCTCTGCCATCTGGATTATTATTTACACTGAGTCCCATTTACCCAGCAGCTGCTACTCACACTGACCTATGTTGGCTTCTAGTCCAACAACACCTTCAATGTATATTGTCTCTTCTTTTTCAAATCTCTCAGCATCTTTGCAACTTTGCCCAGCCCTGCAACCCTCCAACTTAACCATGCTTCTTCATTTCTGACCACAAAGCATCTTTGATGTTAACTGTTTCATTGTTGGCACTGTACCTTTTGCTGCCTGTGATCTGGAAATTCCTCTCCATCCCTGTCCACCCACTCTCCCTTTTTGTTTCTCTCTCACAGCCCCTGTAAGGCACTACTTTCTTTGGTCAGCCTTTGTGGTCACCTAATACCAATGTATGCAATAGGCAGGTGGGGCTGGTTTAGTTTGGGATTATGGTCGGCATGGACTGGTTGGACTGAAGGGTCTGTTTCTGTGTTGTGTGACTCTATGACTCAGCATCAAATTGTGTTTGAAAACACTCCCGTGAATCACTCTGGAATATTTTACTCTGTTTAAAGGTTTGGTATACAATAAATATGTAATAAAATATACATTTTAGAAGACACAAATCCTGATAATTTCCTTCTGATTGATTGATCCATTTTCAGGGTCAGAAAGGAGATCGAGGGCATCCAGGACCTAAGGGTTTCCCCGGCAGCCCTGTAAGTATGAGGATAAATCTGCTTGATTAACCTATAATTAGATTGACACTTTTGTTTGTGTGCAACAAATGTCTCACTCTTGTTTCTTAGAATTTTTGGTCACACTCCTCATATCAACATTAAGCATCATTTTAATCCAAAATTTCGACACAAACAACAAAATTTCCACACTGCTGCTGACCAGTTTGGGATCAAGGAATTTCCTCCATGATTTTCCAGAATGGAAGAGTGGGTTAATGCATTTGCAAGTTGCGAGTTTGTTATCCAGAATGCTTGATTGCATACCCCTTGTCTCAAAAAAATTGATCAATCATTTACTTTGAAACAAGGCAAACTTTGTTTTAACCAGCATCTTATGAACCAGCTCTCTCAGTAAACCAGTGAAAATTGTATACCTCAAATACCACAAATTTACTGTATTTCTCTGTCCAGTTACCACAGTTCTTTAATTTATTTACCTCAATGCAAATATACTCATTGTTCAATCAAATGGCCACACGAAACATCAAAGATGATTCAATTTTGAGTCAATTTCTCCTGATATACCATCTGCAGTGTCGGAGTAGTTAGTTGAGGGTGTGAGTGAAAAGGCTCTCTGCTGTTAGTTTTATTTCAGGAAAAGTTACATTATTATTTAAGTGATTTATGCTGTAAATAAAATATAAGTAACATGTATATCCCTGCATTACATTTCTATTACTTAGTGTGTAGACCTCTGGACCACTCCTAGTCCACTAGGTGCCGGTTCATAAGAAGTTTGCTGTAACACAATCAACCTTCCTAAACTTCTGTGTCAAAATTTAAGTTTACCACAACACGCCATTATTTCTTGTTGTGGGATGTGAATCCGGCCACTCAGCAACACACCACGGGCTGAATACTACAGAATATTTAAATTACTTCTTAAAACTAGAGGTCTGTGAAATGAAGCCCCCAAAAGATTAAGGTGCTCCTTGAGATTCCTGTTAGTGCAAGTTTAGGAATGTTACTAATTTCAAGTGGCTGTTTGTGTTTCAAAAGGGTCCTTCGATGATTGGAATGAAGGGGAATAAAGGAGAGTTGGGAGAACCAGGGAAACGTGTAAGTAGAAGCAATTGTACTTTTTGTAATTCGTTCCTGGAAAGTAAATGTCACTATCTGTCCAACATTTAATGCCCATCCCTAAAAATTTGGAGAAGGTGGTGGTGAACTGTTTTCTTGAATTTGATACCACTGAATGACTTGCTAGGTCAGAGGGCAGTGAACAGTCAAACTCATTGCCGTGAGACTGGAGTCACATATAAACCCAGATTGAATAAGGATCTTAAGATGCCTTTCATAAAGGTCTTCATTGAATGAGTTAGATATTCTGGTACCCTCCAACAGTTTTGCGTTCTCTGTGGCATGCTCCCTGTGAGCTCTGCACCACATTGAGTTTCAGAACCATACCATAGAGAAGATGAGCGTAAAAGGGATACAATTGTCGTGTGGGCACAGGTTGAGGCATTGAGGTTAAGTAGGATAGAAGGTGCTTCAGATTCTCAAACTTCCTTCCCAATCCTCCCTCTTTTTAATCTCTGCAGATTGTTGACAATTTTGCGGAAAGCATTTGCTTCCAGAGAATTGGTGCAAACTGTTTGCTTTTGCCGAGCCTTGTGCAGTTTATACCTAACGCAATGTTGTTGAACTAATTTCACAGGGTAAACCTGGAAAAGACGGTGAACCGGGTCTCCCAGGACGCGATGTAAGTCCTGAACTTAGCCTTTCATTAGCCACCAGTCCTAGACTGACTGATAACACCTAGATACTGCACTTACTCTAACTGAAACCATTAATACACTGAATGACTTGAGCTTTTAAAAATCCTTGTGCCAAGGGAAATTATTGTGCTGCCTGTAACTGATAGCATGGTCCTTCCAAGTGGCAGCACACAGTGAGTCAAGAATTTAATATTCCTGTTGATTCAAGGACTCAGAGTGTGAACCCCTCTCTCAACAGAAATTGGTGCAACACAGTGTGGAGCTGGAGGAACACAGCAAATTCAGAAATTTCTGAAGGAGGGTCCTGACCTGAAACGTCAGCTTTCCTGCTCCTCTGATGCTGCCTGACCTTCTCCAGCTCCGCACTGTGTTATCTCTGACTCCAACATCTGCAGTTCTTACTATCTCTTGGTGTAACACTACCTTATTCTGAAGGATCTGGCTATTGTTGGTGGCTGTTTAAGAGGGAATTAACCAGGAGCTGTACAAGACATCCACAGGAAGCTATGTAACATGTTCTCAGAGGCACACAGAGTGCTACTGACACACTCTGAATGCAAGTGATATCTGTGCTGACTGAATTCATCTGTCAAAAGTTAGAGTTCAAGAGAGAATTAGACATAGTGACAGGAGAATGGCCAGTTAGAGCAGGAAGGTTGCGGATGTTTGGAATTGTCTATCAGACAGCCAGCATAATCCTGTGAGATAGTAGGAACTGCCGATGCTGGAGTCTGAGATAACAGCAGTGTGGAGCTGGATGAACACAGCAGGCCAGGCAGCATCAGAGGAGCAGGCAGGCTGACGTTTCGGGTCTGGACC